GAGGTTTTAACCCCAGGTCTCAGTATTTGAAGGTTCTGGGATAGAAGGAATGTTACAGGTTGAGAAGTACACCAGTAACCACTCCATCCATTTTACATTTCAATGCTCTGAGGATTTCTTACATTCAGCTATTAAAAGTACCCACTAAATGTCAAGTTCCTTATTCTGGCAAGCAAATTTCAAAATACAGGGTGTCGATCGGAATCCATCCAGGTTTCAGCGTCACAGTTACGGGCAACTCAGAATCTGACAGATGTAGACATTGCAGGAAAGGTCCGGTGATGTGATAAACATGGTTAACCATGACATCAATGCAGAGTAATGGACAACTAATTTCTTCCATCATTCTGTATTACACAGAATGGTGTAACCGAATGCTAACAGTTTCATCCCCAGTCACTGAGCAAAAACAATGGAGTTGGGAGATGTTCAAGTTACAAACATATGCATGAGCAGCCCAATATCTGGAAAAGGTTTGGGGTTTTGAGGTCTTAATTATATATATATATATAAAATGCATATATATAAAATATATATATATATCACTAGTGCCTCACCTATCTCCTATACTGTATTGATTTAACACTTTTGGATACATATGTCTATTTTATCTAATTTATTGAAGTACATTGCTACACTGTCCACAAATGTACTCACTTTTTCCTGACTGATATGGATATGCTTCTGTGTGAGATTCAATGGTTGGTTTGCCAGTTTCATTATCGTTCAATAGAATTGTTTTGAAGATATGCCACTCACTCAGTGAGAGAGACACACATCATCGGCTCGATCAAATGCAAGTGTTTATTTAATATCATAGACAAGGAGAATTGAAAAGAATCGGCAAAAACCCAGAAGATAGAATGTAGAGCGATCACAAAAATATTGAGCAGTTCTTCAGGTCACTTTTGATGCAGTAAAATTACCCTGCAATTGGAGTACATGCACTAAAAGGTGGACCAATTTCACCCAAGGTGATATGGGTGGCGTATTTTATCGCATCCTGCCACTCCGATTCCATATGCAGAGAGTGAACAGCTTACAGCACCGCTCAGATTGTGTTTCAAACAATACATATTGCAATCAGGCAGGGATGAATAAACTCTTTGAGCTCTAGTATGAATGTCATGCATTGCATTGGTAGTAACAGGCTGAACTGCTTTTCTGGTGTCACATGTGCAAAATATGTTGGCAACAAATCCTTGGTACCGGCAGTCTGTTGACGTGTTAAAGCTGATCAATCAACAGCTCTGAAGTGGGCTGGTAATCAACATCAATTGGTGCACCCGAAATCTCTCTGCCAAAGCAAACGCATCGAGCAGCGATGGAAAGCTTAACATACAGCGATATTAATGGCAAGCTTTGCGGCTTTAGCTGGTTAGACTCCAGCAGTTACCCCAACACACACTTTGGGGTCCCCAAGCCTTGGTTCTTGCCAACCTGCGCCTAATACTTTCCGGAATTAGGTAAACAGGATGTGTCCCTCCAGGGAGAGAGAGCGCTGTCCATTCCAACAATCTATCTCTGGGATTTCCGTGTGTAGGTGGGAGGCAGGGAATTCTCAGTTGGGTTTGGATACTCTTAAGCACAGTGATGGGTTTCCGCATGTGACACCCGGCTGACTCCCAAAAAACAAGCAAACGACTTAGATTGGCCATAGTAAAGACCTCAGAGTAAAACCTTCATTGTAGGAAGTGACAACGGAGGAGGTCAGATGTTCCTTTTGTCACAGCTTTGAGCCATTAAACAGTCCGCCGCTGTGAAGAACTTGTAACAGATTTTTAAAATCACCTGAGTCCTGTGCTGTATTCGATTGCTTTTGCCCCACTTGAAAATCAAGTTGCTTCAATTTATATGCAAAGCTCACGTTGGGTATCACATGGTTATGACACAGTGCCAAAGGAATGCCTGATTTAAAGGGTAGATGACTTTCAAAAAAAAATCTAACAAGGAACTAATGCTGCAGCGTGTAGAGGATGTTGAGAATTAAAAAATATTGTGATGGGTGCTCAACACATACATATATTGATTTTCGAAATTTTACAAACTCTCTACAGACCCTTTTAGGCAGATTTGTCTGCATTCAAACAACAACAACAACTTGTACTTATATAACACCTCTCACGCAGGATAGTGTCTCAGAGCCCTTATTCAGGCGAGCCCTCGAGGCAAAGGAGGTTCGAAGACACAAGTAGTTATGACTAGTTTGTGAATTTTCATCTTAAGTCTAGTTAACTTAGCAGCATAAGATATTAAACAAGAAACATCATTTCATAACTTCCAATGCAGTGAAATATGCTCCTATGTAACTCTTCCCACTACAACAACAACATTACATTTGTATAGCGCATTTCATGTCGGGATGACGTCCCAAGGCGCTGGACAGAGTACAGCACTTCAGAATGACCGACTGGTATAGAAATAGATTATTGACAGTCAGTGATAGGTGGGCTCAAGCCGGGTGTCTGACACGTGCGGAAACCCATCACCATGCTTACATCTGCCAAACGCTCAAACCCCAACAAAACTCTACTGTACTGGAGAAAACAATGCAACTTTTTCATTGGAGCTTCTGATACTACAAGCCTAAACATCAAGAGTCAATGATTCTTCCAATGATCATTCAATCATTTAATGGTAGGTCAAGAGGCACAGGTTTGAGATTATGAAGCACAAATTTAAGTCAGCGGCAAGCAGTATCCCTTTACACAGAGGATGATTAACAACTGGAATGGATTACAAAGAATGGTGGTTGAGACCTGACTGGGAGGCATTTAATTAAAACAATGCTGCAATGGATGGCACCAATAGAATATTTTTCCAGCCAAAGCTACCTTGTGTCCCTGTCATCATCAATGTGATGCAGCCAAATTGAGAAAGACCAAAGCATAATTTTTTTTAAAACCTACAATAAAAACAATAAGAATCATTCAGACGGTTTTCTCCTTTTAGGGGTCAACTTAGCTCAGTTAGTAGACTCTGTGTTCAAATCCCACATTGGGAATACAAGTGTAGGAGGAGGCAGTTCAGCATTCAAGCCTATTTCACTGGTTTAATGGATCTGTGCAGTTTTAACTCTATTTTGCCAATTTTTCCTCTGTACCCTCAAATACCCCAATTCCCCCAAAGCAAGGATTTTAAAAATCCCAATTGATTCTACTTCCACGGTAACGGTTCTCTGCCCACAACCCTCCGCTTGAAGGAATGTTGTTTGATCTCACTTATAAGCGTCTGAGCTCTAATTTTAAGACAAAGTCCTTCCCCTTGTTATGCATCCCTTTACCAAGGGCAGAGGTTTCCCACCATCTAAATTTAAATATTGTAGAGAATTGATATGGTAAATACCTCAATAAAATCACCCCTTTAACTCTTAAGGAATATAATCCAAGTCTCGCCATATCTATGTTTTGCCTATAATGGTTAGCAATAGTAATTACTGTAAGCCATTATAACATGCGCAGAAATGATTTTTTCAGTTTGCTGTGGCCCCTCTAAAAACCAAGCTGTCTTGCTATAATCCTTTCCTCTTAAAAACACCACATTATTTTGCACAGACATTAGAACGAGAGACCGGGCATTTTACTTTCCATCAAATAAATATTACATGAATCTAATATCCTATTGCAACACATTCAGAAATTCGTTACGCTCGCGTGCAAAAATAAACGATTGCTTTTTTTTAAAAAGAAAGCAAATCCAGAAGCATCTGTCTTTTTCAATTTAAACAGTAAAGTCACGACAAGAGCAGAACAAGATAAACGCAGCGAAACAGCTTTTGGGGAAACACACAAACCATTCATTCACAGTCAGGGCAGATGATGGCGTACAAGGAAATCAGATTCCGCTCACATGGAGGTGAAATGAAACCGCCAACATGGCTAAAAATTGCATCTCCCTGGCATTGCATCCACCAATGCAATCTACCTTCTCAACATTTTGCTCTTTTCCCTCATCTCACAGCTCCCCCCCACCGCCCCCCCCAAAAAAAAAACACATACAACAGCTCGTTAAATTATAAAGAAACATTTCAAGGAAGGAGAGATTTCCATTTTTTTTCTATTTTATTTCTATTTTTAGCAGCGCGTCACGGATAATCTCAGGTGATAAGATGCGGCTTGTCCACCGGACAAAAACAACAGGGAAGAAGGAAGGGCAGAGAGAGACAGAAAAAAAATCAATGGGACACACCGCCACCCCCCCCCCCCCAAACCCCCTCCCCCTCCCTTCTGGCTTTAAAACAGAATTAAATGTAAAAATACAGTGTTTTTAACCCCGTTTGTGAATTCTCTCTCACCCCCGACCGAGCACATCAACTTGTACCGAAATTTAGATGAAAAATGGGAATAAAAAGAATCACAGCCCCACCTCTCCCCCTCTTACCCCCCCCTCTTTCCCCCCCCCCCTCTCCCCATCCACCGCTCTCTCTCTCCCTATTTTACACCAAAAATCCGCCATAGGAGGAGAGAGAACCTCCACATGTTTTTTTTGGGGAGGAAAAAAAAAGGAATTGCGATCGACATCGTCAGTAATTAAAACGTTACGAAGGACTGTGTGTGTGTCCAGAGATCTCCGTCAACAGCAAATACACACACAAACCCCACCGTAAATACAGAGATAACCCCCGAAATATACCATCCGGTTGTTAATACACCAACATCACCACCAAATAAACCCCATCTGCAACATATATAAACCCTTCGGAGAGATATAACCGGTCACACAAACCTGACAGCAACACATCAGCACATTCAGCGCATCGTAACACAAAATAGAGATACGAAAGTGGCAATGAATAAATATATAAAATAATATATAAATAATATATAAGATATATGTAACTGTCCGGAGCTGATGGTGAGGATCCCCCCCCCCGCGGGCGGCCTAACTCCCGGGGACCGTCTCCTCGTCGAACAACAACAAAATGACATTAAAACGTTAAATAAAACCACAACGTGCGCAGTGTTTTTTTTTAATCTTTATTACAAACGGTCCCCACTGACCTGCTCGGCCCCGCGGCGGCTCGGGCGGCGCTGGGTCTCGGTGGCCTCGGGGGGTGAGTGAGGGACGGAGGGAGTGAGGGGGAGAGAGAGAGAGCGGTAACGGCTGAGAATAAAACAAACGTCACTCGGTGTCGCCGGACTGACGGTTTGATGTCTGCTGTGGCTGCGCGCGCACCTCCGCCCCGGCACCTGACTCTCCCCCCCCCCACGCACTCACTGTGGCTGCGCGCGCACCTCCGCCCCGTGCCCCTGACTCTCACCCCCCCCACGCACTCACTGTGGCTGCGCGCGCACCTCCGCCCCGGCACCTGACTCTCCCCCCCCCACGCACTCACTGTGGCTGCGCGCGCACCTCCTCCTCCCCTGCACCTGACCCCCCCGCACTCCCTGTGGCTGCGCGCGCACCTCCTCCTCCCCCTGTACCTGACCCCCCCCCCCTCTGGCCTCGCGCCCCTTTTGCACGTGATCCAACAACACAACAACAACAACAACGACTTGCCCTGATATCGCGCGCCTTCCACACAGCAACAGCGCCTCAGAGCGCGGGCGGGAGGGACGTCCAGGAGGTAACGACAACAACAACCCCCACAACAACAACAACAACAACAACCCCCCACAACAACAACAACAACAACAACAACCCCCCACAACAACAACAACAACAACAACAACAACCCCCCACAACAACAACAACAACAAACAACAACAACAACAAACAACAACAACAACAACAACAAACAACAACAACAACAACAACAACCCCCCACAACAACAACAACAACCCCCACAACAGCAACAACAACCCCCACAACAACAACAACAACAACCCCCCACAACAACAACAACAACAACAACCCCCCACAACAACAACAACAACCCCCCACAACAACAACAACAACCCCCCACAACAACAACAACAACAACAACCCCCCACAACAACAACAACAAGATTCCATTTATAGAGCGCCTTTCACGTCGGGAGGACGTCCCAAGGCGCTGCACAGTTGGGTCAGTACCCGATCGTGGAGTCCTGTAGCTCAGTGGTTAGAGCACTCGCTTTGCAAGTGAGAGACCTGAGTTCAATTCCCGGCAGAGGGCGAAACCTTGGGCAAGTTTCCTTACTCCACACAGAGCCTAATAATAATCCCTCCAAAACCACAAACAATAATAAATTGGTCATTTTCAATCTACGACTGTTTGTGGGACATTGCTGTGCGCAATTGGCTGCCGCGTTCACCCACAGATATACAGTGTGTTCTGTGAAGCGCTTTGGGACGTCCTCCCGACGTGAAAAGCGCTATATCAAATGCAAGGATTATTATTATTATTATTATTATTGGGGAGAAATGGTCAGGTGAGGGGAGGGAAGGGAGGGAGCGAGGAGGGGGTAGAGAGTCGAGAGGGGAGCTGAAGGCTGAAGGTCAAAGAGAAAGGTCTTGAGACCGGCCTTGAAGGAGGAAAGGGAGGAGGCGGCGAAGGCACTGGGGATAGAGTTCCAGAGCCTGGGGGTTAACTACAGGTTAGAAGAAATCTGAATTGAATTACCATGGATTTTATCATTCCTATGGAATAGATGTATCTGCACCTAGGGTCAGTACTAAGCTAAAGGGAAGCCTCCACTATCCCAAATCTCAGCAACCTCCCGCTGCAGCATAAGTGTAGACATTCTTGTTAGCATTTTTGTATCTTTCCTGAATCAGGCATTCAGATAATTCTGCAATTTCAAAATTCTGTGGGAGATTTAACCCTCAATACCTCTGCCATCGATGATAGCTTTGGCAGAATTTGCAATGCAAAACAAACATGTGGACATGCAGGATGTTTTCAGGGGAGCAAGTGGCAGCTAAATGTCTGAAGGTGCAAGATGGTTGGTTTAATTACTTTACAGCTGGTGAATGTATGGAAACATTTTCCCAAAAAGGCAGAGGAGGTTGACAATAATAATCTCAAAGGTGAAAAGTGTGGTGGGGAATGGGGTATAACAACAACAACAAGATTCCATTTATAGAGAGCCTTTCACGTCGGGAGGACGTCCCAAGGCACTGTGCAGTTGGGTCAGGACCCGAGCATTGGGGGGAAATGGTCGGGGTGAGGGGAGGGAAGGGAGGGAGCGAGGAGGGGGTAGAGAGTCGAGAGGGGAGCTGAAGGCTCGGTCAAAGAGAAAGGTCTTGAGACCGGCCTTGAAGGAGGAAAGGGAGGAAGCGGCGAAGGCACTGGGGATAGAGTTCCAGAGCCTCGGGGCTGAGAGGCTGAAGGCCCGACCACCGATGGTAGGGCGGTTGGGGCGGGGGATGTGGAGCAGACCGGAGCCAGAGGAACGGAGGGTACGGGCAGGTAGGTAGGGGGATAGTAGGTCAGAGAGGTAGGAGGGAGCGAGGCCGTGAATGGCCTTGTAGGTGAGGATGAGGATCTTGAAATCAATCCTCTGGGGGATGGGGAGCCAGTGGAGGCGAGCGAGGGTGGGAGTGATGTGGTCGCAGTGTCTGGTGCGGGACAGTACACGAGCTGCAGAGTTCTGAATGACCTGCAGTGTGGAGGGAGGGCCGGGAAGGCCGGCGAGGAGAGAGTTCCCATAGTCCAGCCTTGAGGTGATAAAGGCGTGGACCAGAGTTTCAGCCGCGTGAGGGGTGAGGTAGTGCCGTAGTCTGGCGATGTTCCGGAGGTGATGGAAGGCGGTGCCAGTTGTGGCGCGGATATGAGGGAGAAAGGACAGCTCAGGGTCGAACAGAACCCCGAGGTTCCTGATGGCTTTGAGAGGTGGAGAGTGCAGCCTTGGATGCTGATGCTGTCAGCGCCTGAGGTGCGGAGGCGCTGACGTGAGCCAATCAGGAGGGCCTCGGTTTTTCGCACGTTGAGCTGAAGAAAGTTGTCTCTCGTCCAGGACTCGATGTCGGACAGGCAGCTGTCAGGACATCGGTGGTCGTGGAGTTGAGGGTAGAGGAGGAAAGGTAGAGTTGGGTGTCATCCGCATACATGTGGAAGTTAACCCCATGTCTGCGGATGATGTCACCAAGGGGGAGCATATAGAGGGTGAAGAGGAGGGGACCGAGGACAGAGCCCTGAGGGACACCGCACGAGACAGAGGAAAAGCCGTTTGTGGAAACAAAGTGAAGACGGTGGGAGAGGTACGACCTAAACCACTCAAGGACAGGGCCTTGAAGGTTGAGGTGGGAGGACAAGCGGTGGAGGAGGATAGCGTGGTCGACCGTATCGAATGCTGCCGATAGGTCGAGGAGGACGAGGAGGCAGAGGGAGCCCTGGTCACAGATGGTCAGGATGTCATTGGTGACCTTGACCAGGGCAGTTTCTGTGCTATGGGCAGCACGGAAACCTGACTGAAGGGGTTCGAATATTGAATGGGTGGAGAGGAAAGAGCGCAGTTGGGAGGCGACAACTCGTTCCAGGACCTTGGACAGGAAGGGGAGGTTGGAGATGGGCCGGAGATTGATAGCTGCGACGCATCAAGAGAGGGTTTTTCAAGGTGGGAGTGATGGTGGCAGTTTTTAAGGGAATGGGAACAGAGCCAAAGGAGAGGGACAGGTTGATGATGTCTGTGATAACAACAACAACAACAACAACAACAACCCACAACAACAACAACAACCCACAACAACAACAACAACCCACAACAACAACAACAACAACCCACAACAACAACAACCCACAACAACAACAACAACAACCCACAACAACAACAACCCACAACAACAACAACCCACAACAACAACAACCCACAACAACAACAACAACCCACAACAACAACAACAACCCACAACAACAACAACAACCCACAACAACAACAACAACCCACAACAACAACAACAACCCACAACAACAACAACAACCCACAACAACAACAACAACCCACAACAACAACAACAACCCACAACAACAACAACAACCCACAACAACAACAACAACCCACAACAACAACAACAACCCACAACAACAACAACCCACAACAACAACAACCCACAACAACAACAACAACCACCACAACAACAACAACCCACAACAACAACCCACAACAACAACAACAACCCACAACAACAACAACAATCCACAACAACAACAATCCACAACAACAACAACAACAACAACCCACAACAACAACCCACAACAACAACAACCCACAACAACAACAACAACAACCCACAACAACAACAACCCACAACAACAACAACCCACAACAACAACAACCCACAACAACAACAACAACCCACAACAACAACAACAACCCACAACAACAACAACAACCCACAACAACAACAACAACCCACAACAACAACAACAACCCACAACAACAACAACAACCCACAACAACAACAACCCACAACAACAACAACCCACAACAACAACAACAACCCACCACAACAACAACAACCCACAACAACAACCCACAACAACAACAACAACCCACAACAACAACCCACAACAACAACAAACCACAACAACAACAACCCACAACAACAACAACCCACAACCAACAACAACCCACATTAACAACAACCCACAACAACAACAGACAAATGTTCGTGGACCTGAAACGTTCATAGAATCACAGAATCGTACAGCACAAAAAGAGGCCATTCGGCCCATCGAGTCTGTGCAGTTCTTTGAGAAGAGCAATGTAATGTCAATCCCACTCCCCAGCCCTTTCCCCATAACCCTGCAAACCCGTCCTCCTCAAATACCCATCCACCACGTTTTTAAAAGTAGTTATCGAATCGGCCTCCACCGCCCTTTCAGGCAATGCCTTCCAGATTCCAACAACTCGCTGCGTGAAAAAATGTCTTCTCACCTCCCCTCGGCTTCTTTTAGAGACTATTTTGAATCTGTGACCTCGAGTCACCGTCACACCCACCAGTGGAAACGGTTTTTCCCTTTCCAACCTCTCAAATCCCCTCACGACTGACTTTCCTTTCTCGTTGACTGACTTTCCTTTCTCCCCGGATGCTGCCTGACCCGCTGAGGGTTCCCGGCGATTTTCGATGTTTCAGATTTCCAGTAGCTGCAGTATTTTGCGGTTTCTCTCTCCCTCTCTCTCCAGCTTCGCTAAGCGCTGGCTATCTTCCTGCTTGAGGTTGCTGATCCTCCTGCGATACAGGTCTAGCTCCCCGGAAAGAACAGAAGATCTCACACAGCAACGTGTTCCTTTCAAGCAACATCATACTTATC